GGATTAAATATTCCTTTAACTAGTAACATTTAATGGCAGCAATCCGCCGGTTTTAATTTATGCAAATCTTCCCATTATCTGTATCATCGAAACTATTCCTAACCAATGATATTTAATACCATGGTACGATGAAGAAATCGTAGCCACGATGGAGCTCCATTCTTTGGTATAATGCCCCAAGGCGATAAAGGCCGTAATGAATGAAATAGCTGCAAAACGGAGAAGACTCGAGCTGGTGGGTAGAAACGATGAGGCGAAGCACTATCATATTCCTGATAGGTTAAACATTTTCTTCAAAAAAGTTATACCAAATGCAAGAAATTTTTTTCCTTAAATATTAATTTGTTCTTTCTCGATTAATCTTTGCTTCATATTTCAGTTTCTCAATAATAACATCATCTACCCCTGTCGCCATCATCTACCCCTAAGACATATTTTATGCGATCATTGGTATCCCAACTTCGTCAACCTTTTTTCTCCTCAGCATCAATGCTTTCCCCTTTACGCAAGTTAGCAACGTATTTTTCTATTACTAACTACTGAGTATATTCCATGCTTTTATTTTTTATGGTTTATTGATTTTCTTGCTCTATTTGTTGTTTTCCTCTGGACACACACTAGGTGTTTTGAATTGCTAATCCTCCAATTTGTTTGTAATTTTAGAAAGATTACAACGATAGTTTTGAATTTTCGATTTCGCTTTTACTTTTTACAGGTGAGCTTTTGCCATGTTTCGAAGTCGTTTGAGAAATTTGACAGAAACGCAGACTCAGATCATGTGATCATCGCAAAAAATGGTTTGACACTTTGAACTGCCTCATTTTGTCGTTGTGATTTTTGTTTTTCTGTGTTAACTTTGTTTTCTGCCATTGTTTTTTCCTCATATTTTGGAACAGTTCAAGAAAAAAAATAAAAAAAAATAAAGCAAAAAATAAAAAAGTAAAAAATAGAAAGAAAGTAAAAAAATTAAAAAAAAATGAAAAATAGATTAAAGAAGAAAAGTAAAAAATAGG